TATAGGGATTGATGCAGTGGGTACTTCCCAAATTGATCCAGCCAGAGCAACTACAGGGATTGATGCAGTGGGTACTTCCCAAATTGATTCGGCTAGAGTAACAATAGGGATTGATGCAGTGAGTGCTTCCCAAATTGATTCAGCCAGAGCAACTACAGGGATTGATGCAGTGGGTACTTCCCAAATTGATCCAGCCAGAGCAACTACAGGGATTGATGCAGTGGGTACTTCCCAAATTGATTCAGCCAGAGTAACTACAGGGATTGATGCAGTGGGTACTTCCCAGATTGATTCGGCTAGAGTAACAACAGGGATTGATGCAATGGGTACTTCCCAGATTGATTCGGCTAGAGTAACTACAGGGATTGATGCAGTGTGTACTTCCCAGATTGATTCGGCTAGAGTAACTACAGAGAACAGATGCAGTGATACAACCCAAATTGTTTCAACCAGAGACATTTTTGTATCTCCATAATCTTCCAATCATAGTTAAAATCTCAGTACACAACTATTTAATTTTCATCAAAACCTTTCATTAGAAAAATTGGATCATATATTAAATTTTATGGTATTTATTCAGAATCTCATGATAAAGCTAACATTATTACCTTATGTAACATTCAAAACACCAAGTTTCCTTTGGTAATACATATTTTATAAGTGAAAAAAATATTGGAAATAGAAAAATTATCTTGTATTTTAATTCAATGAAGAATTAATTCAAGCTAATAATTCCCATTTCTGCTGATAATCTTAATTTGGTCATGATTTGTTTTTGCAATGAATTCAAGTACAAAATTAAATGATTTTTCTATCTATAATATTTTTCCACTTGTTTTTAATAATTTTTCTCAAAATAATATATTATTTGCAAGTTTGTTTGGGTAAAGACCAAATTAACAAACACAATATTTTAACTTATTATTGACCAATTATATTGTACGTGTAAAGTTGTAACCTACAAACATTTTATTGGGTAATGTCAAATTTATACTTTATTACATTAAATATTTGATAACTTCTTCCTGCTACAAATACCAAATAATTGTTACATTATTGAAATAAAAAAAATACCTTTATTAATCCACAACTTCTTAACGTTAATTCAGGAAAAGTATGTTTAAAACTTCAAAACAGTAAGCTTGTAATTAAGCTCCATCTAATGATGTTCATGTAGAGTTTTCTCTTTACTGTATATAGATTACATATAGTTTATTTTCAACTGGGCAAATTAACTATGTTTCAGCATTACATTAAAACAAGATTGTAAACAGCATCAATTTTCCATTCTTTACAGTCTTTGTCAAATCCTTTGTATGGTTGAATATTGTTATTACCTTTTGCATTTAAGCTATTTTTAGGAATAGTTGCCTGTTACCAGGATCAAATATTTTCAAAATTCAAGTCTTATACATTTTAAACAGTGAATGATGAACATAACTGTGATTTTGAGTTCATTAAGTGACACTTTCATAGTTCCTATCAAATGCTTTCACAAAGATGGAGAGAGATATTTAGTACTCACACTTTCCAGTGTAACATATACCTACAACTCTCAAACAAATAAATGCAAAGTATTTTTAACTTTCTATATTTCCATTATTAAAAATATGAGAAAAGAGATTTATTAATTATTATACATTTCTTTTAAAAATAAAGAAAAAATGTAAACAAAGCACACAAAAAAATATGCAGGAAATAATGAAATAAGCAACCTCAACACACAAAATATGTAATTAATACTTGAAACAATAGGTACTTGGTGTGCTCCATAATTACAAAATACAGCTACAAATTTACACAAAATTTGTAATTAATACTTGAAACAATAGGTACTTGGTTACAATAGGTACTTGGTGTGCTCCATAATTACAAAATAGAGGAAAACACAGCTCTATATCTCACAAAATATTTCATTTATTACAATGATGATTCTTTACTGGCGAAATCATGAACGTAATAAATATTTGTGAAAGTTACAATTGTCTTTGCTCTCCTCTACTTTGTTATCACACACAATGCACATTTTACAGTTTAAAAGGTAAAATAATACATTTAGAAAAACAAAGATATAGAGCTGTGTTTTCCTCTATTTTGTAATTATGGAGCACACCAAGTACCTATTGTTTCAAGTATTAATTACATATTTTGTGTAAATTTGTAGCTGATGTTCATGTTAACCATCTTTTTTTCACACAGGAACTTCTTAGAAATACGCCTAAAACCCATGAAGATTATGTGGGACTAGAGAAGGCATTAGACTGTATGCTAGTGAGTTCTGTAGATTTAATATATTTTTCAAGTCCTTGTCATTGTGAAAACTGAAGTGAAAGGGGTTCTAAGTTTTTATTATTTACAAAATGTGTGATAGTAAATGTTAGTAATTAAATACTTCTGTAGTTTTATTGAGTTTTTCTTTCATGATTTATTCAATTAGAATTATCTTTCAGTTGCATACTTTTGTAAAGTTATCTTTTAAATCTCATGAAATTTCTAATTGGAAAGTGCAAATGATTGTTATCAATATATTTAGAAAAGGTGTATTTTATCACTACTGGAATTTTGTCCTAAAATGAGAAATAAGTTGGTCACTCAGGTCATTCTAGAAAATTGTATCAATTTCTTTTACTAAAGGATTTGTTAATCTCAAATATATTTATATCAATAAGAATGTGAAATGCAAAAAGTTTATCGTGCTTATTTTTTCTTGCATGTTCACAAAACATGAAATTGATGGTCAGATGGGGTCACATTTTTAGGGAAAAAATACACAAATCTGAAACCTTGTTTATTCATACCTTATGTATAAGTTATCATTGAAACTTAAACTAGTAAAATGATTGATGTGAAAAACAACTATTTTGTAATTTGTATAGAACTAAGTCCTTGTTTATATGATGTTGTTTATGTCCATCAGTGGGACAGCAATAAATCTATGGATTTACAACACTATAATCAGGGGTTCGATTCGCCTTGGTAGACACAGCAGAATGCCCAATGTGGCTTTGCTATAAAAAATAAATCTCGTAAAACATACTGTTGTACACATGTGAATAATTTTCTTGGTTCAATTTAGTTTCTTACACTGATAAAAAGATAACTTTTAACCATTCCTCACATATTATATTTTATAATCATATGTTTTTTTGTTTAGCTTCTGTAAGCTATGCTTATGTTTTAGGACTTTTGTGAATGTTTACATCACAAGTTTATGTATTTTCAAACATTGATCTGTATTCTAATAAGACCATTTTAAGCAATTATTTCAGGATAGTTAAAAAAAGACACAATAATTTTATGATGGTTAGCCCTGTTGGTTAATTCTTTGCCAAAATAAATTAGTTTGAAAACCTAAAATATTTGCTAGAGAGTATTTTTACATGAAAAATTGATTTGTGTTCTTAATACTATATTCTTCAGTATAACCTGTAGTTTTGTTGTGATGAGCATCTATAGTAGATGGACTTGTCTTACTCACTTGAACTTTAAAGGGTTCTCATTATCTAGTAAGTACACATTTAATCGTTATCTCTATTAGTGCATCATACTTTCTTGCCTTCGAGTGGCACAGCGGTATGTCTGTGGACTTACAACATTAGAATCTGGGTTCCAATACCCGTGGTGGGCAGAGCACAGATCGGCCATTGTGTAGCTTTGTGCTTAATTACAAACAATAGTTTCTTGTTGTAGGATTAGGTTTTGGCTTTACATTTAAATTAATTTACTTGTCTTTTTAAACAGTTCTTCTATTGTAGTTTATTGTGATATATAATTCAGAAATTTTCTGTTGTGGAAAGGTGCATTTCCATGACATTGTTTTTACTGGACAAAGTTACAGAATAGTTAGTTATTATAATATTGTTGTTTCTCTAGGACATATCTCAGTACATAAATGAAGTCAAAAGAGATAATGAAACTTTGGAAATTATAAAAGACATCCAAGTCAGCATAACAGATCTTGATATGGTATGTATTTTGCTAATTACATGAAATCCTAATTATGAAATGTTACTACAGCAACTATTACAAATATTCCCCTTATGTAGGTAATACAAGACTTACAGTATAACTGACATTGATCTTGGTACCAATGCACCTGTCTTTTATCAGTTTCTTTGTAAAGAATTAATATTCTTTTCCAGAAAATTCATATTATTAATGCTGATCATTTAGATATTTTAGTAGCTGTTTCAGATTTATTGTGTGGTTCTAAATAGATGGGAATTTATTTATGTTGGTAGGCTTAAAGTGAAAAAATCAATTAATTTTATGCTGTTTACATTTGTGTCTTTTAAAATTATACAGGAAACAAATTTTTTTTGTGCCTTTCTGTGTACATTTTCCTCCACCAGTTATGTTTAGAACCACATTTCTGTGGGATAGCCTTGTGAGTACATTTTTTTACATGTGGCATATATTAGTTAATCCAAGATTCACATAGGTGCTTGAAATACTGGAAAGTCATGGAATACAAGCTCTGATAATTTTAGTACTGGAAATCATGTAAAAATTGCTGTTTTAAGTCATGGCCATTGAAAGTTAAAATATCAGTATCAGTAAAAACTCCCTCATGAAATAATCAGCTTAATTCAAAAATATTTAACAAAAACGAAAAAAATTTTGGTCGTCAGAATCTGATGTTTATTTCATGTCAGTCATCATGAATTTCATACCTTGGACGACCCAAGAGTATTCCATTTCTCAAAATTTAATTAAACTACTCTTTTGTTTATGTTATACCAATTAGTATAGCATAAAATCATAGCTAATAGTCCATATTTTGATAGTAAATAAGTTTTAAGTTCTTAATGTTATAAGGCAATATTAAACAAAATCCTGAATTTTCCCTTAATGTGAGAAATGTGACTTTTTCTCTCTCTAAGCATCCTCTCTTTTCTAATTTATTCACCACCCTTCCAATAAGTATGAAATGTAATCAAAACTGCTCACTATAATATTGTTATCACTAAAAAAAAAACATAATTTTCAGACTTCAATCTTGTTTAATTACAGAACTATCAAATAGAAAATCAGACCCCTCTTGCCACAGCTACATGTCACATCCTCTCTTTCAGGATTTGTTAACAGTTCCCTCTTACATTGAATACTATATTATGTATAACCAATAGAAAGCTAAGGTTTTTATCTATCAAATGACATATATTATGTTGTTTTCTTTACAGAGAAGCATAAAGTTTTACTGAAAAAAATTTTTGTAATGTGTTTAAGAGGTTTTAGGGATTATGGAAATGAAACTTGAGATTTTTAAGATGAAGAAAAGTACTCTTAATCTTAACATGAAAATCACTTTGCATTCCCACTAGTCAAAAAAAAAAAACTCAATATATTCACAGATAAATCTTTATTAAAAATACTTCACTGATTTTTTATGTAAAAATACTTGTAATGTTTACTAAAAGTCTGCCAAATGTTGGGAAGATACTATATTAAAAGTTAGTATATCAAAACTATAACAAGTACAAAGTGGTCACATGGTTGGTCAAATCGACCGAACCTGTGTAGAAAGAGTTAATGAGTAAAAATGCTAGCATCAGGTGTTCAAGAGTCCTAAATATTTGAGCCCTGGGAAGCTTTGGAATTATCTTTTTTTAAAGTCTTATGAACCCCTTATTGTCTTTAACTTTCTTTCAAAAATTCATTTGAATGGACATCTTTACAGATTTTATGCTCCCAGGTAAATATCAGTTTATATACATAATGGTTTCTGCTCACCTGCTTTCAAGAAAATTAATGTACTGAATGTGATTTTACCAATTTTTTCCTTAATGTATTTCTGGCAACTTGGAAAGCATAATTAGTAGGGAAAAGTTGCTATTTTGTTTTAGTGATATTGATATGGAATAACAATAATATATTCATCATACTTTAAAATCTCTTCTTTCTTTAGCCTGAAAACACAGAATTGAGAGATTATGGTCGTTTACTGAAGGATGGTGAGCTTAAAGTTAGATCACATGATGACAACAGGCTAAAAAATAGGTAGTTATATATGTGTTAATTCTAAGTTTTCAAAAGTTTCTCTATTTCATTCAATTGTGTGAGTATTGGTATGCTCAATGATGGCTTAAAAATTAGACTAACCATGACACACACCGTGCAGTATGTTATAGTGTTATAGTCCATTATCAGAACCAATAATATTATTGATTATTTAAGTAATTTTTCTGAAGTTCTATTTTCTTTACAAACCTTAACTAATCTAAAAGTAATACCTCATACAGATTCTTTTTCAATAAGTTATTTTTGTATAGGTCAAACTGCGAATGTCTCTCTAAGCCTACAAGAGAAATCATAAGATATTTGGCTTAATTTGTGTCACAACTTTTATAGTGGACTCTGACCATATATCCCCATTTTTAAATCCCTTTTCTGTGCGTGTTATACAGTATTACGGAGTTATATTCCAAATTTAATTAA